CCTATTTATATCTTCCATTAACTAAATCTTCTTTTCGTCTTGTAGCGATGCGCCCACGCATCAATGATTCCAGATCTGATAATGTTAAGTTAGGTTGCACCAGACAAGTTGAGTTCTCATCAAAAGTATCAACTAAATGTCCAGCTGTTGTAGCGCAGCGTTCACCATTAGTGATTGTACACATTAACGATTAATGCGGACTCATAGGATAGTTTTCTCGACCTGTCCCCCTTTTTTATGACGCGAGCAACTGTCAAAAGACTGATTAGATCATAAATCGTTATTTTGCTGTACGATATGTCCCGCCTGATAGTAAATTGGGCATAACAAACTAAGATATATAGCTAACGATATCCGTGCCAACATACAACAAAATCAAAAATTAAATGTGAAACTAAACCAGGAAAGTTGTCGGGAACACCACGAATTTGATGGGTGCAGGCGATACTGGGTACAAAAATCAGCATAAGTTCACCATTTTTTGCTAATTTCTTTACAGTGGCTTGTGGCCATAGTCAACTCAGTCGTCCCCGATACAAAATCTGCATACCTATCGTTTTGTCTTCTCGTTCACTCAGGGTCCGAAGATTATCCGTGTCGGTAATAAAAATCGTTTCATCCATTTTATTCTTGTGCATTATGGATAACTCGCCAGACGCGAACCCTCGCTGTAGAACGCAAAAATGGAACGCCTCCTCCTTTTAAATGATAATGTCCTTCCGCAAATCAAGCTTATTTTTGCGGCTGTAAATGTTGAGTTCTCGGTGGTCACAGCGGTGCTTGAGACTATCGTACAGCTCATCTTGCGCCTCCGCAGGCACATATAGGTCGCGAAAAAACTAGGTGCTCGGAATGTCCAGGAGATTCTTGGAGAAGGTGAGCAGCTGCAAATTCAACACGTTAAGGCCAGATTTTTGTAGACGTTAAACACATCATGCAGCTTGCGATGCTTCCAATCGTTTTATTCGGCACGCTTGCAACCTTAACTAAGAAGCGCCTTTAGAAGCGTTTTGATGCTGATACCTGTTTGACCGCCTGCGCGGAGTGGTGATGCGTGAAGCTACTTTGCCGCTTCAGCAAAATTGCCACGATTTGCCCACCAAAGCAGCACTTCCACGAAATTCGCAGAAGAAGGAGCGGCTAAAAAGTACTTTGAAAATTTCTCCAGAGTTCTTTAAAGAAAAAATGCGTGTCTTCTAAATTGGGTTTTAGCATAAATTGTACGCCTTTTAAATTTCTCCAACCACGTCCATTTTTGGCGCTTACGCTTCTCTCCACCTGACAGAGACTCTTGATCTCTTGTGTATCCTTAAGGTGTGGGTGCCGTGACATGGATAAGTTATAAGTATCAAAGTGGGGCACAGACAGCGAGACCAGTGGCATATTGCGCCTAGGAAGCGTACGGGACCGCCCCAGGGTGAGGACGATGAGACCAGTGAAGCAAATTAATTTATGGCACAAGTCGGAGTTTATGGCGCTGTGGTGTTCAATGTAGGCACTAAATTGCGGTTTAGCACTTGAGCCTCCACGCGCCACACTAATTTTGTGGGCATATGGTATTAGTTTTGGACACGAGGTAAAGCATATATAATAGCGTCGTGAACTCGATTTAAATTTAACAATTTAAAAACCACTAACGCTGGATCCTGTGATCGGTGCCTACAAAGCATTTTTAAGTTGTTTTGTCAGGCGTTGAAGATCCAAATTATGTCAGCTGTGGCGTCATTGAACCGGTTTTGAGCTTAACTTCTCGTTCCCGTTTCTGATAAAATCTTATTTGGATGTTCTAAGGCGAGCTTATATGCACGTTTTGGTTCTTTGATGATTATTATACATTCTATCCTTACTATCCTAAAGCAAAAATGAAAACATCTGGTGCGCAATTTTTTAACCGCACGCATTGAATCCTGCTAGATGCTATTTTTTTCATGTTTCTGAAATGAATCCTGGATTCAATGAGTATTTAGGAGGCTAGTACGCTATACCTCAATGTACTATAAAAACGTTAATGCAAGACACGCGGGATGTATATTGAAAACGAGTAAAAATACACATTCAACAGAAAAATTTGAATTTGAAAGACGCCTGCAGGTCGCGTGTATTTACCGCTTATAATAAGCAACACGAAGCCAAACTTTAGCAGGACGATTAATTTTTGAGAGATGTTCTGCAAAGAATGCGGTCGAATGTTGTATGAATTGTGCGCTTGACCTATGTGATGGCTAATAGGTAATCAAGGAAGTGAGCGATGTCCCGCTTTACTGCAGTGAGTAAACACTTTGCAAGGACATTTTAAAATAAACCTTTAATGCGTCAGGATTTTTCGAATGGCCTGTCTGTGTTTTAGGTAAATCATATGCTTCTCCAAATGGAAGTATTAAAGTCGAAATGTTGATGCCGCTTGGCCAATATCGCGCCGATCGCAGCATGCGCAATGTGATTGATACATCGTACATTTGGGAGTGGTTGTCGAGTGCTTGCGTACACAACGGTCGATTGCCATAAGTTACGTGCTCAATATTTCTTTTGAGATCCGCGTTCGCGGATAATTCTTTGTTAAATGAGGACTGATAGCGTCTATCGCCAAGGTATACCATTTTCGAGCTTTCGGTTTTTATACAAATTGGAAAAAGGTTACGTGCCTGAATTGGTCTTGACAATAGATTGCACAGAAAAACACCCGGTTAATACTTTTTGCGGTTACGCATAGATGATAGCCTGCATGTAACGGGGTAGCCGCTTACATGATATTGACACCAAGCGCTGTCAAAAAGGGAGATTGACTAGTGTTTCAATCTTTTGCCAAAATTACCGAGATGGGTATTATTAAAGGGATTTTAATCCCCTTGGATAGTGTTCGTGTGCTGATCAGAGATTGGTTGATAAATGACGTATAAACCAGGGTTACCATCATCCGCTGCTAAACAAGCACAATGGGTGGTGAGCCAGTTGTCGTCATTCGACAATTTAGATTAATTTAGTTTGACAAAGATTGAAGTTGTTATGATAGCTTGACTTTATTTAATACATTCCTCTTTTTACCTTTACTCGACCAAGTCGTTCAAGTAGATTAGCTTCCTCTGCACGTACCAGTGTACGTAAAGTTTCGTGGCACCTAGAAAAAGGGTGCCCTGTTACAACTGGTAGCACTTCGTAGTCCGTCGAACGGCTACTTAGTATCCGTCCAACATGAACATGCTGGACATAGAAGACGACAGCTTCGATATCGCACGTGGAGGCCAATCCAAAATGATTGTCTCGTGATAGGAGATAGTCGGCCGCACGAGTGTGATCATAAGCGAAGCCGCCATCAGTGGTATGTTGGAGTCTCTAAACAGAGATCAGCAACATGCTGCTATCAACAAATTCCTACAAGGAAAACTTGCCATCGAACGACAGAAGATAGCCTTGCTACAGCAGCAAGGCTCTCACCAGTCGATGGGCGGGCCGACGCACATGCGTCGAACCGAAACCTTGAAGATAGATATCTCAAGGTACAAGGGAACCGACGAAGATTCCCTTTTGAGGTAGTTCTTCGAGTTAGACGACGCCATCAGGGCCCGTCACATCGAGGGTGACGAGATGCAAGTCACCTTCGCCCTGTCAAATGAGCAAAGACTTGGGTCTTAGGGCTCAAGCTTCGCGACCCAAATGTGTAGAGTCGCTATAGATCTTGAAGTCTCGGCTCAAAGAGACGTTTGAGCCGCCGAGAGCCGAGTTCAGAGCACGCTCTGCACTCCTGAGGCTAAAGCAAGGTAAGCGTGACGTGCACGCTTACGCACAGCACCTACGCTACCTTGCAAGTAGCGTTACGGAGAAACCCTGTTTATGAGCACACGCTCGTCAATGTGTTCACCTACGGCCTTGTGGATGAGCCGGTGAAGACCTACATGTTCCCAGAGGATTTGCATACGCTGGAAAGGGCGATAGCGTATGCGGAACAAGAAGACTTCAGCCTGAGACAGTCTCAGGCTAACTCGTCAAACTATCGTCCGACGAGACGACAGGAAACAGGAGGTCCCGAACCAATGGACCTCTGTGGCATCGTGAGAACTCTCGATCTCTGAGTCACAAGCGAACGGCAAGATGCCATCGCTGTCAGAAGATTGGACACTACGCTCATGCGTGTAGTGTCCCACTCCACTGCAACACGTCCAAAGACAGGAAGTGATGACCGTCGTTGGCCAAGGAAGGGTCCGAGGCGTGGGTTCAACCATGTCGCTAAGCCGCGACAGCAAGTCGGACCGTCAAAAAACGGTCAGGGTCAGTAGGGGCGGAGCACCCTGCTGATCCCAGCAACGTCAAGAGAATTTGCAGGACTCTTGACGAAGATTGCTCCCAACACGCAGTCGCTGTGTGTTACTGCCTTCAGTGATGAGGAGTTTCTCATCACTTTGAAAATCGAAGTGACAAGTGGAATGTCACTTCGCGCTCTAGCTGACTGTGGGGCGTCGAACAGTTTTATTCGACGCCAGTCACTAGGGGATAGTAGTCTCAACTATGTTGAGCGAGAGTTCCCTCCAACGAGGATGACGGTGTGCCTTGCTACAGGCGCACCCGTAACAGTGAACTAACGTGTAGTGGGAATCCACTACACGATAGAAGGAAAGCAGAACGATGATGAATTTATCGTATTAGATTTGGATGACAAATTTGATGTCATCCTTGGTCTGACATGGCTTAGAAAATACCAGCCATGGATCAGCTGGCAGCATCGATCTGTGAAGATGCCTGCCGTTTCTTCATCGGATGGCCATCTGATGAACGTCTTGGAGCGTCCACAAGCGTGTGGATGTACTACGAGTAAGTGCGATGGCCTCACTTGTGATACGGTCGTTAGTATGACTGCACGAGATAACAGTGTAGAAGGCCACTGCACTGTGGATCCCAGCTTCCGGCAACTGTGTAGAGACACAGGCTGCGCCGTAGGTTCACCACTCTAAGAGACCGAGTGGACTGGAACACGGATGCACACCAAGAAGGGTGCATCCAGAATAGAGATGAGTGTTGTTCAGGATGAACAACACGTCGAAGCGAGATCGGCTATCAGAGATTCGATCGTAGAGCAAGCCCGATCGACTGAAAGAGGATCGATCGAAGAGGACGTGACCGCGATAGTACCCGTAACGGAAGAAAAATCCGGCGTTCCTGAGAGCAATAAATTCCGAGAGAGTTATGTTGAGGGTGTGGATCCCCAACCACCTGCGGATGTGTTTTCCCAGGAAATCACCGAGTCAGTGATTGTCTTGGTGAATGACGGATCAAGTGTAGGCGCTTATACACTTGATCTGGTGACGCCCCCGAAGTCAGCTTCGGAGGTGGTCAAGTTGCCAACGCTGGAATCTAATAGATTCTTGCGAGATCTGCGTAGTGACAAGATCAAGCAGATCTGCATACTCGTCAAAGAGGACGAGTACGTCACCACTATTCGGTCGGCACAAGTGTTCGCTGAGAACAAACGGGTTCTCAGTAGTTCATCGATGGACGATAGTGTCCTCGATGAGAAGACCCGGATAGATCGATACACGTCTCATTCTTGGGAGTCTTTAAAAACGAATCCTTTGTATAAGGATTTGTTGAAATTCAGGGATGTTTTCCCGGAATCCGTGCCATGAAAGCTGCCTAAGGACAAAGGCACTTGGCATGAGATCGAACGGAAACCCGGTTCGAAATACCGTGTCATGAAGCAGGGGCCACTGCCTCGTGAACATGTCACAGCGATTGACAATTTTTTTGCCGATCGCTTAGCGGCTGGTCATGTGAGGGAATCAACATCCCCACACAGCTCTCCGACCTTCTGTGTGCGAAAGGTCACAGGAGGGTGGCGGATAGTGCACGCGCTCAACAAATTGAATGCTGCAACGATACCGGCTCAAACGCCGATCTCAAGAAAGGACTTCATCATAGATGGTATGGCAAAAAGTATTATCTTTTCATCCATGGATCTGGTGGATGGATTCTATCAGATCCCCATGCGTGAACGGGATATCCCTTAAACAGCAGTGAGCACCCCCAGTGGTATGCACTATGAGTGGCTAGTGATGCCACAGGGGCTAAGTAACGCCCCTCAACGTTTAACAGATGTGTTACGAATCTGTTGCTATCGGTGCGCGACTTCGCACCGAGTTACTTCGACGATGTCTTCGTCCATAGCCGGGCTATGGATGGAAAGACGGACGTGGAGGTTCATAGAATCCACGTCCGGGAGGTTCTTACAATCATGCGAAAGCATCAATTTGCATGTCAATCTCAAGAAGTGCATATTCGTAGCGAACGAAATACCACTTCTTGGCTGCTTCGTGGGTAAAAACGGTGTACGCCCTGATCCGGAAAAGATCAAGGCGATTAGCGACTGGCATGGCCAGTCGACGTCAAAGGACTTCGAAATTTCCTTGGCTTGGTGGTTAACTTGCACAAGTACTCGCGCAACTGCGCCGAGTGGACCGTACATCTCTCTCGTCTGCTAGAGAACACGAGAAGAGATCTTTAGGAGATAGGCCCTTCATCGTTTATACCGACCATGCGTCGTTACGCACGGCCGTAAACAGTCCACACCTCTCGCAACGAATGGAGAGGTGGCTGTCTTTCTTTGCTGAGTACAACTTCTCCGTTAAGCATGAACCAACACGACTTAATGTTATCGCTGAAGCTCTTGTGCGTCAGCCCGATTTTGATCCGACTGCTCAACCCAACAGCAGGGGTGATCCCATTGTTGCGACACTATCAGTGAGTGTTCCGTCGTCGAATCTGCTCGATGACGTGCGAAAAGCATGTACAGAAGATGAGTCTCTTCTGCGATTGATGGATTACGTATCCAATCCGTGTAATCAAGCTTTGAAAAGCTTGTCGTCTTAATGCCACTCTTTAACCGAACGGTATTCTGTTCGTGATGGACTGCTGTACTATACAGCAGTCAACAGCGACACACCTCGTGCCATCGTTCCCGCTCATGATGATTTTCGATTGCGTATCACGTACGATTGTCACGATGCCCCAACTAGTGGGCATCGCGGTAGATAAAAGACTTACCTCACGTTGAGTCGTGAATTCTACTGGCCTCGTGAGTATGATTTTGTGCGCATATACATCCGTTCTTGCGAAGTGTGACAACGGGTGAAGCCCAGTCCTTCATTTCATGCACCATTGCAGCCTCTTCCGATTCCGGTATAGTGTTGGCAGTTCGTATCGATGTACTTCGTCTTTGGGTTTCCCAAAGACGTTCACATGAACGCTGGTTTTCTTGTGATTGTTGATCGGTTCAGCAAGATGGTACATCTTGTTGCTGTACCGGAGTCTTTCAAGACCCAGGGCTTTGATCTTGTCTTATTTGATACTACCTTCCGACTTCACGGGTTACCCCGTGAACTCGTGTCCGATAGAGACCCCCGATTCACAGCGGAGTTTTCAATCTGTGTTCCGTTCACTTAGAACATGTTTGAAGATGACAACTTATGGCCATCCTGAAAAAGAAGGTCAGACGGAACGCGTTAACCGAATGTTCGAAGAGATATTTCAAGGGTACGTCCACTTGTTCGCGAGTTGGAGTGAAATCTTGCCGATGACGGAATTCGCCATCACAAACTAGGTGCACACGTCGACAACGCATACACCGTTCTTCGTGAATGGCCTACGCCATCCACGTTAACCCGCCTTCTTAGAGTGTTACTCTAGTTTAAGGGGGGGTGGACTCGCTCGAACAAAAATCGATCTGGTTCTTGCTCATCACCCGTCGACAATGGTGTCAACGTGATGGATGCCGATGTCGATGGGATCGATGTCGATGACGACGATGACGACGATGCTGGCATATTCAGCATCGCCAAAGACCGCCAAAGCGAGGACGATGATACCCTCACTGGTGAATACAACGTTCTTTCAGCAGTGCACACGAAGCGCATTGCTGTTGACAAGGATAAATCAGTAGAGGAATTTCTGCTGACTCGCGAAGCATAGTCCACTTCGTTCAAGATTCTATAGCAGATGCAATCTAAAAGCAGAAGCGAAACGCATACAAACACGGAAGAGCAAATGTTCTTTCATTTGACGAAGGAGACCTAGTTTTACTGTCTACAGTAAAGTTACCCAAGCACGCAGTGACAAACGTGAGCGGCAGTAAATTACTGCCCAAGTACATCGGTCCATTTCGTGTGTTGCGCCGAATGGGCAACGCATAAACGATTGAACTGCCCCGTAAGATGCGCACGCATCCTACGTTTTACGTTGGTCGTCTCGGCCCGTACTATCAGTACGAGCCCATTTCGCGATGCAAAGAACACCTCCACGGTCGAGAGCCGAGACCACCTTCGGGAGTGGTCCCGTTTCAACGAACCAGTCTGGTCTACTAGCGAAGCGACCTGTTCACGCAGCTCAGCGATGTCTCGACGAGCTGCAGCCAGCTCTTCATGAAGAGAACGAGTTGAACGCTTTTTCTCAAGTTGGCAAACGCAACGCGGCACGATCGTTCGAACGATTGTGCGCTTAGAAAATGTAGTGGTCTTTTACAATTTCATGTAGCTCAAAACCCACATTTTGTTCATGGGCCAGGTCATCGTGTCACTGTTCCGTTTCACGGTTCACTTTCTGAACATCAAGCTGATCTGATCCTCTATCCGAATCAGGTGTTCCCGCTACCACCACATCCTGTAGTGGACTCAAGCGGTAGTCAACGCTTTCCGTTGGAGAGCATTTTGAATCACCGCGATGTGAATGGCGTCAGGACGAGCTACCTCGTCCGCTGGAGTGGCTATCCACCGGCGTGGGTCAGCTGGGAGCCTCGTGCCTAGCTGATTGTTGAAGTTCTTGGTCTCGTCGAGCAGTACGACGAGACCCACCCGCTGCATTTGAAGAAGGGCCGTCGGAAAACGACCCCCCCGAACGCGAGTACAGGGATTGCAAAGTGTAAATCCCTTCGGCCATCTCGGAAGATATGCGCGCCCTCCAGAAGGGATCATTCGGGAGGTAGGCGTCCATAGGGGCACGGTTCGAATTGTCCAGGCAACCTGGACACGAATCACCCCACGAGAGACAGAGCAATCCTGCCTCTCTTGGCAGTCGATGCAACTCGTATCGCATGCCGACTGGGTTGCGTTTCTCAAACCTGATGAGAGCTGCATCAAGTTTATCGAGTTAGGCCTCCCGGCCGATACACTCGATGTTGTGGATGAGAGCATTCCATCTTATCACCAAGGCCTTACCTTCCCGGTTACGCTTTCCATTGAGCCACCGATATTTGAAGAACGCATCGGTGAAGAAGTCTTCCTCAGCACGGATAGTTTCCGTGCAGGAATCAGGAGGACATATCCTACTACATTTGAACAATGGATACGATCCCGTTAAGTGGTCATACCGGCTACTCGGTCTAATTTCTTGGATGATGACATTCAACGAGAACCCATGATTAGTGGCATACAAGTAGACTCCACTTGAGGAGCATGGCGCAATACATTGCGGTCCCTGGAATTTTGCGCTGTGTCAGCATTGGCACTGACACAAATAGCATCTCGATCACTCGAGTTGGTTTTGGCGTGTTAACGTATAGGTGCATCACTGCCATCACCACGAGTCTTAGTGTCAGATGGAATTGCGTGATACGACAATCAGATAGACGAATCGCTCAGTCCGAAAATCTCGGACATGGTTGCGCCGTGATGCCCGGAGCAGTCAGCCTGACTCCGGCAGTGATGTCCCCTGGGCGATCTGGAGACAGGAGGAGCCGCCTAAGAGTAAGATGCATCATCAACTCGCCAGTGTAGATGAGCTCTATTTCAAGCTTATCCGCAGTGCGAGTCGTAGCACCCGCTGCAGAAGCAGCGGATGTATCTGTCGCACGTGGTAATCACCACATAGACTATTCGCAACACGCACTGTCTGTTGCTCACTTGCAACAGCAAGTATTTGATTACCTGCTGCTGAGGCTTGAGAAGTAATCTCTCTGGATGCACGTATGCGTGCAGCCTCCTTCTTGGCTGCTTCAGCAGCGCTCCGCATAAAAACCGAAACCACGCGATGGCACTGGCTAAAGAGTTTAGTTATGACCGAAAAGATCTCTCCTTTTTATAGTGATATTAAGAAGATCACTTTGTCTTCAATCGGTCTAACTCTATCAACAGGTGATAGATGGTTAAGGGGGTGATGTAACGGGGTAGCCTCTTACATGATCTTGTCATCAAATGGTGTACGTAGGAAGATGGTATAGCGTGACAAGTCTTTGCCAATATTACCCAAGATAAGTAACATTGAAGGGATATTATCCCCTCAGGATAATATTCAATTGCTGCTCAAAGATTAGTTGATCGAAGACATATCAATTTAGGTTATCACCAATCGCGGCTAGACGCGCGGAATGAGTGGTGAGCAGGTTGTCGTCATACGACAATGTAGGTTAGTAAAGTTAGATAAAGACTGAATTTTTTTTGATAGCTCACCTACACATAAAAGTTTTCATTTTACCTTTACTTAAACCAGTGATTCAAGTAGATTTTCTTTTTCTGCACGTACGAGTGTACGAAGACGTGCGTAATGAATGGTGAGCAGGTTGTTGTCATTCGACAATGTAGATTAAAAAAGTTTGATAAAATAAAACTTGTATTGATAGCTTCAAGTTAAAACTTACAGT